ACTATTTATAAGTATTTGTATTTTCAATATTTCTGTTTTATTTAAAGTTGCCTGAGTATAATATTTTTATAGATTCATTGGAATGTAAAAGAGCTGTAAAATGGTTATGTGATTATATAACTTATCAGTGTTGGCGACCWCCTCAGGCTCATTCTCGAGATTTGCATTCCACTATTGTGGCTGCATATCAATGTGCTGCAGTTTGGATTGTTGCTCATCCTTACCTACTTGATGATAAAGATTGTTTGAATACTGTTATTGAAGTGGTAGAACTTGGTATATCAGGCACTAAGTCACATGTAAGTTATTTGAACTATAAAAATTACCGATGACACAAATATTCACAATATAATGTATAATCTAATAACTATTTAGTTATTTAGTTTATGTTGTCAAATTAATCCATTAATTCAAAACATTTTAGAGTACAGTGACATTATAACATTTATATTTAGTAACACCTTCCAATTGCCTAACCTATACAACAAACATTTTTTAAATATCCCAGCAGAATTTTTTTTTTATATTCTACCTCTCGATAATAGATGATTTCAGTTCTCCAAGAATGTCTACTTTAAATGTCTCCCACCATATTTGATTTACAATATATATTAAATATTTTTAATTTTATGTTTATTTATAATAATAATTAAATTAATATATAATAGGTATTTATATGTTTGTTGTATAAACAGGGAAAACCCCAAGAACCAATAAAAATGAAAGATGAAAAAGAACTGAAGCCAGCTTCAATGAGAGTAAGAGATGCTGCTGAATCATTACTAACTATTATATTAGAACAAGTATGAAAAATATATTTTTATAACTATGAATATTTCATTTTTATTGTTAAACTATAAATTATAGGTTGGATATTTTCCATCTGTCTGTGGTGCTGAAAGTCTATCATGTTTATTGGACGAAATAACATTAATCAAACACTGTAATTCAATTGCTACTGATGATGTAGAATGCAAATCTCATGCTATATCAAAATTTAGATACTTTGTGCTTGAAAATTCAATAATCTTAGCTCTTTTTGAAGAACCTTTAGGCAACAGTCAAGGTAAATATATTTTGTTATTCCAATAAAAACTATTTAGCGTGCATAAAGTATATAGTTTTAAATGTTTAGATGCACAGCCAACTTTGACAGTTTTGATTAGAGGATCATTTGGACGGCAAGCTTGGACTTTACAACTAAGGCATTTGCCTCGCCATCGGTCTTCATCAACAAAACAGTTCAATGTTTGCCCTGGCCGCCCTGTAGCAATGGAAGAACCTAGTCGACATAGATATTCACGAAGGTCTACAACACATTTTTCGGAAAGYATAGAACGAATACCAACTTGCAAAATGTATTTATTTTTATTTTTTTCATAACTTAAATATTCTTTGATTATTTTTACTAAAACTAAATTGCATTTAATTTTAGAGATAAATCCATACCAAGTTTAGATAGTTTAGTTTTTGATGATGAAGAACATAGCATATTATCAGATTTAATTGAAAAACAAAAAGAGATGGAAAGTTCTTACAAAGAACCTCCACCCAAAGCAAAAGAAATGTTACCACCTCAACCTTGTACTGATTTCAATACAGCCAGATTATTTTTATCTCATTTTGGATTTTTGTCTAGACTAGATGATACAAACGTAATTATATTATTTACTAAGGACATTGTACCTATATGTGATGTSTTCATATTACTAACATATAACATATCAAAGAAATGTTCAGAATAATCGATTTTGATTTCAATATTTTTGTGTTTTTATGGAAATAATTACCATGTTATGTGTTAAGGACAAAAACAACGCATATCAGTAAAATGTCCTCTTAATATATACATTATACAAACAATCCTAAACTACCTAATCTAACCAAAAAATAACAACTTATCACAATAAATAATATAATAAAATGTTTACTTTTAAATTTTAGCCATCATCTGTCCCTTCATTAGTTCCTTTAAATGTACAACATGAAAGTTTCTGCAAAGACCTTGAGATTCTTGATAATACCCCATCACGCACCTGTGACACATGCCATGTATTTTATGTCAAGGATGGTCAAACAAATTTTAAGGATATCTTAAATAATGTGGTAAATCTCCTGAACTTGTTCTATATTGTATTATATATTAAATAATATTTTTATGAATTAAATATATTTAGACCTCTAACACAGAAGTTTCACCAAACTTTTTGGAAATGTTAACTAATCTTGGTTGGCCAGTTAATATTAGTGAACACCCTGGATGGACTGGGCGTGTTGAAACAAGTTGGAATCTACCTGACTATAAACATTCTCAAGACCAAAAATGCGATACTCCACATGGTGGAAGCTTATATAATGGTGAAACTCATGTACTATATTGGGCAGATGTAAGTTCTGAAATAGCTTTTGTTGTACCGACAAATTGTAAAGAACATGTGAAATCACAAAAGCCTGAAGGTATACTTAACCCATTGCAATATTAATTTATAATTATCATTAATATTATAAAAATTAAATATTGAATAGGTGATGTCTTACAACATGAAGGCATCAGATATACGAAACCAGTCACCACAAGAGCTATGTCTATTGAATTTGATTATAAAGGAAAACCCACTCAGCCACATATTGAACCACCAAAAAGACGTGCACAATATGTATCAGCTACTGTTATGTTAGTTTGGCTAGAAAGTTTTGAAGATCATATACACTTTCCTATTGGTGAGTAATCGGTCATTAAGCTCAACTAACTTATTTAATTGTATGACACTGTAAAAGTTATCAATGAAAATAATAATTTTTTTCTACAGCTAATCTTCTGTCTTATACAAATACTGGTATTGAACCTTTGTCACATGTAAAAGATATTGGTGATGTACATGTCATATACYTGCACGCCTTACAAAGTGGATTACTTAGAGTAAAAATGCAAGGACCAATCGGAAGGTATATTACTATTAATTTTACATTATTAGTACAATACCAACACTAATATGACTTACATAGTAAAATATAACCTTAACTGATGGCTATCAATTGAAAATTAATAGATTGATATTGTTATTTATAGAACTTATAGTTTTAATATTTTATATTATGTCATTAATATTATTTAATGTTGAATTCCATGATATTTAATGATTTAATTTTTTTCAGAACTCACCTTGCCACTCCGTTAGTTGATGGTATGGTTATTAGTAAACAAGTAGTTGGCACAATGGTCAGACAAACGGCATTAAACATTTGTAGACGTAAAAGATTAGAAAACGACAGGTGAATTATATTGCTATTTAATGCTATGACCTTTTATTTAATTTATAGATAATAAAACAAAAAATTTAATTTACAATAATGTCTATAGTACTCAGTCACATAAATACACAATATTAATGAAGCATGCCTTAATAATTTAATTACTATTTGTTGTTAATGACATCAGAATAAKCTAATGTTAAAGTTCCACTAAAGTTGATAAAAATGAGAATAATGTATTGTCTTTGTAATTTAAATTTAATTATCTTTTATTTGTTTTTAGTTTCCAACCAGGCCATATACGCAGGCGTTTAAAAATTCAAGAAATTGTCGGAAAATATCAAATAAAGATGACTAAACCAGAGCTTTACACATATTTATTAAGTAATGTTAATTCCACTTGAATAATTTTTATTTGGTGGCTTGTGCAATATTTCTTTTTTTTTTATTTGTCATACAAAACTGTAAATATAAGCCAACTTTTTGGGATTATTTTTTATTTGTTATAACCATATGCATAATAAATTCCAAATGTTGTGATATTTAGTTTTTAATTTAAATTTTTATTAATGTTTACATTTACTATTATTTGTTTTGTAATTATATATGTTCATTTTTGTACCAAATAATCATTAATCTGAGTGATTTTTGGCTGTTATTATATAAATTTATATTAATAAAATAATTGTATTTTTTTCAAGTATGCAATGCCTGTTTTTAATTGGTTTCTATTAGATGCAGTAATTAAACTGCTGTTAAGAATTTTGGTCCGTTACTAAGGCCTTRTTTGATATATATTTAAAAATGAAAATCAATCCATTTAAAAACAATATTAAGATCAGTGTTTTTCAATGTATTCTTAAAGATTTTACAATTTTGAGTTTTATAATTGGCGCACTCTATGACCTTGAMATAAATARGTTATAAGAAGACAGGTATTAGGAAAACTGCATTTGGTGGTTTCCMTTTGCAATCCATATGGTATGTTAAATAAATCGTCTGGTAAAATAGGCGTGTATAATCACAGTATAAAATAGGCCGAAAATATAATACTACACCTAAGTTTTTCTTTAAGTTCAATGACCAATAGAAATCCATAGCTAAATTAAACTATTGTTATTGAAACCATTAATTTAATCATGCTTACAATAAAAAATTATAAATTATATATTATATAATTATAATTATAAATAAAAACTCAAAAAATATATTTTAGTGATCAGTGCTTAACATAGACACAGAACATACAWTATGTATATATTTATATGGGACACAAACACAGAATTTATAACATAAAATTAAAACACTCAATGTTATTCAACATTATATAATAGGACACATAAATCTTCATATGAAAGTATACAATAGTAATACAGCATGCTTATTATTCTAACATAAATTAAATAAAGTAATATAAGTGTATCAATAATAACATAAATTAAAGTTAATTTAATATTGTGTATTTTAATATATTTATAGGTAATATTTTTATGAGAGTAAATTTGTTAATAATGGTGATGAACTATAACGTGTTCTGTAATCATATTCGGGAGAGCTAAGCGATTCATAACCAATATCTTCATACTGTTCGGTGTCCATATCATCTTCCTGGCATATTTCAAGAATATGTTCATCATAAGTTGTAGTTACTTCTTCAACGGCTTCTTCTACAATAATAAAACGTTCCAAAGAATCACTTTCATCTTCAGAATGTTCTGTTTCTGATTTAACAACCACATTTGACTTCAATAAGTCTATTTCTTCAGTTGGAATCTTAACTGTATCTGTAAGTGTGTCTGTGTCTGTGTTTAGCATGAACAGTAACTCATCTTTTACTTTTATGTCTGCATTGGGTAAATTAATATTTTGGCTGGGTTCCATGATTTCTGATGTGCTCCCCACCATTTCATCAAGACAACATTCATTAAGGAAACTCTGAAAAACATTGAAAAATAAAAAAATGGCCATCGCACTTGCAAAATAATATGAACTAAATAATAATTACTTCGCCAAGTAGTTCATCAGCAATTTTCTCCAAACGTTTTGATACATTGTTGTCAAGCCAGTCCATATCGTCATCGTCGTCTGGAAGCTTGAGATTATGTAGGATGGAATGGTCAGTAATAGGAATAGAATCTGATAACAGAGCATCAAACAGGATGTTCGATTCCGTTTGCCCTTCTGCAGAGGGTGTCTATTGGACACGGCAGGTCCATTAATCGAAATCTTGTTATCAACTGCTGTTGAACAGAATTCTGTAACTGTAGATTTTGGTATGGATGACTCGGTGGAAAGTTGTTCTCGTAACCTTTCATTTTCGGTGATCAACTGTTCTTGGTTGGCCCGTAAAATTTCTATTTCTTCTCTTAAATGTATGTTCTGAAAAAAAATWATTAATTATTTGTAAAATATTAAAAATGTACTGCAGTTACATTATTCATCTATTAAACAAAACTATTAGTAAAACTGATAACATTGAAAACATATTAAAATGGTGTACTTAAATATGAATATGATAGAAATATGTTTACATATAATATGTACCATTAATTGTTAATAGATCATAAAACCATTTCCATATTAAGAATAAAATATACAGTGTTAATACTCAGATAGACATAGATAGATACCTACTTCATAAATATTCAATAACTTAAAAGATTAATATTTTTTGAATATAAATACATTCAATGATTAGGTAAAAAAATGTGCACACCTCTTTTCTTAAGCCATGAACCATCCCAGACAAAATATTGAATTGTGCTTTCTTTTTATCCCTAGATAACTGTGCTGCTTCTCTGTTTCGTAGTTTTCTGTAAAAAATATATATATATTATTATTAATAAATAGATAAGTAAATCAATAAAATAATGTATGGATATTTATCTATAGGCTAGTTATAAGTTTTAAATTAATTTTAGAGAAGAATAATATTTTTATTCTCATTAAAGGACTCAAACTAATTGATATTTATAATATTTATTACCAAAATTATTGTTTATTATCTTTGCTATTATGTATCATTAATCATAAGTCAATAAGTTTTARTTTTTATCAATAAATAATAGTAATGCTAATTGCCCAATTACGAAAATACCATTTTAGAATGATAAATAATTCTTTACATTATTAATAATTAAAATAATATTTTAACTTCAAGAATATTTTACATACAATACCATACATACTTCATCGGCTATTATTATCAGGCAACTATCAAGTAATTCAAGTTCAGATAAAATATATTAATATMTTATAATAATTTCTAAAAATTACTTGGTCTAAAAAAATCATAACTTACCTACCTACATTAAGACTAATTAATTATTATGTTTATTACTTATTATAGATTACTATGAAAAGTATAATAWACTCATTATATAATACTATTAGAATATTAGTAGTTATATTTATAAATGCAATACCTAATGATCATTACATGAATATCACAAATGCCATTGAAGTTTTTATTTAAGATGTGTAWCGTGACAAAATGGCTGTTTAATTTAAATTTTTGAAGGACATGCTTAGAAATGTACTTAATTATAGTGGTTAACTTTAGTGAGATGGTAAAATTAATAAGGATAAATAACAAAGACATCATAGAAATGAATTGATTCGTCTAAACATACAAGATTTTAAGTATATTGATATAATATTGGTACAAATGGCAAAGCCCTCATATTTAATAATAAATAAATAATTATTTATGGGTAGGTCTTGTAAAGGCGTGTAACTCTTTCAATGAGGTAGTAGATAACGACCCCGCTGATTTTTTTAGGAATTACTATTAGTGTGGATTATCAGGTAACTAATGTGATTAATGCAAGTCCGAGAGGATTTTGGAGATAGTTGTGATAAATGTTCTTGGACTAGAGAGATGACATAATCATTTCACAATGTATACAGTGATTTGAAACATAAAAAAATAGTTTTTGCTTTGGTTTGAAGCAACACAGTCAGCCATTTGTAGCCGCAACAAGTGCTGGTTATCGCGAAAAATACTGCTCAGTGTTCATGCCGGAGCGACGGGGTCAACTGCTTAAGTAAATATCATAAACTCGCAAAAATAGCAAAATATAAACGCAATATGGTCGGCAGTCTACTCGTGTACCTACTGTTATAGTAAGTTGTTTGTTTAATATCGACTTTGCAGTACTGCCGTGCGCAGATATATTATACGGTTTATCTACCCACCGATCACCCAACACCGTCATGGCGCGTATTTATTTATTTATTGCCGCGTAACACACCGTACTGAGCATAATATTATAGTATTTGGTTTATAAATTTATAATATCAACAGTGTAAACCGTAATAGGTACTATGGCTGACGCGTGGCGTTTGCGGAAAACGCGATTATGGGCCATTGCCCATTACAACAGGTGCGGCGGCGGTCGGGTTGTCGAGGAAGGAAGTATGCGTAGATAGCACGGCCAGTCCGTGTGTCGCGCTTGRTGAGGGGAGGGGGGGAGAAGAGTTGTAATTTATGATGATATTATAAAATATTATTTTTATTACTACTTATATTAGATTTTATAAACGGAAAGTTTTCGGTTTTACTCACTTGCGCAAAATTTTCTCCTCTGGCGAGATGTTTTTTACGTACGTCCGCTTGGCCGGCGGCGATCTCGGCGMCATCGACGATCCGCCGCCGACGTCCCCGACGGCCATGGGCTGTCGCTGTTCCACATAACACATGCCTGAATTGAATATCAACATTTGACTGGGCCGGATAATGTTAGGCGCCATGAGATCTGTTTTTGTCGTCGGTAGTAAARAAACGATCTTGCGACGGTGATAAWGGTACCGTAATGCACGGCGGTGATCCAAGACAATACAATTCGAACTACACTCTCCGATCGCGTTATACGAATACGTTTAGATTATTACTTATTTAGATATCAAATGATTATGGAACCTATGGGTTTGTTACTTGTTATAAATAAAATTACGTTTATTAATTTATTATGTCCTACAGAAGATACGCACGKTTAACAACRCCGAATTGTGATTACTGATTTGTGACTGAGCAGTGAACACTCACACATTCACACACTGTACGCARAACGACTAAACTAGCGAAGCGAGTGGTGACTAGTGAGTGGTAACCGTAGGGCGGGGGAGAAGACGGTAGTTTTTTGTCGACATGGCATGGCAATGTGGCAAATATCAAATTCTCGACATCGATGTTTTTTGAACATTCAAATTCAAACATCGATAGTGAAAGCCCATGATGCAATAACATCGAAACATTACGCACGGTATAACCGGAGATAGTGTGTAGGCTAAGGCTACTACTTAATATTTATTATTTAATTATATTATGCTCATCTACTGAAAGTAATCAGAAAAGTATTAGTCATAACCCATTAGTCATGATTATAATTTATAATATAGACATTTAAAAATCTAAACGCAAAAATTATATTTACAATTAGTTAAGTTTCAAGTATATAATAACAAATAACAATATTAAATACAAGCACAAATATTTAACTTTTTCAATTGTATTGATACTCATHTTTTTAATAATTTTTTGATCATAACTCGATACCTAACTAATATACGTTTAGCATCGGTATTGACATTAGATCAGCGTTTCCCAACCTTTTTGCAATGGCGACCCATACATTTAATTTAAAAATATACTTTTTAAATGATAAATTTTTAAAATAAATAATTAATTTAAAAGTTGAAGTTATTTTGATTGAGCATCAAAGCCTCGACGTACCAGCGTACCGCTTATAGTAATGATAAAATAATATAATTTATATTTGTAAATTATTAATAGACAGTTATGATTTCTAATAGTTGGTTGGCGTCTATTATCYATTCACCTGTCGACATTTAGTGAATACTGAGTAGGTACTGAACTCACAGATGAGTCTTAGGGAAAAAGCCGAAAATAATAAAATTGTTATTTTTAATAAGAAATCAAATCTAAATGTTATTTTGAATTTAAATTYTTAAGCCAAGAGACCAAGCACAGACTATATCACATAGTTTGAGGTGGTCTAAGTTTAAATGATTATTATTAAGAGATATACATTACATTATAATTTATAAACAAAATTATAATAAAAATAGAAATATCCGAAGAAAAATTGCTGATTCAAAACATTCAATAGCCTTCGTTTTTGATTATTTTAAATTAAATAATTATTACCTTCAATGTATATTATGTACCATATTATTTATACTAGTGCGGAGGGCTAGTTATTTAAAAACTGTAGTAGTAATAGATAATASTAGTATACTATAGTATTGATTTTATAAATGTATAATAAACATAACATTTCTTCGAAAAACTAATTTTTTTCATACGAAAACTGAAAACCTGTTTAGTTATCATTTAAAATTGAAAAATTGGAGAAAAAAACATTACTCGTTGATCATTATAATCCGCGAAGTCATATGTCGTCGTGGTCTACTGAACAAAAATGAACATAATGACGTTATAATATGAGTAAAATTATACTATGCTTGATACTATCAAAGAACAAACTTAATTTTGTTCTAACTATGTTTAAAATTGTACACAACAATACAACACACAATGCTGTTGTTTTGAAACATGAAACATGAATTAAATAGTAATATTTTACTATATATATTACTATTTATATATATTACACATTGAGCTCGAATTCCGGAAAATAGATTTAATTTTTGTTCTATGTATAATATATAGAAGTATAGAACGGCTTCTATATAAAAATATTTTAAATTTTAAACTATTTTACCTTTATTTACCTATTATCCTCTTATCTTCCACCAGTCTAATTTGTACTATTTATGTTATATATAACAAAAATTAGATACAGTAGGGTCTCGATAATCCGAACGAGATTGGGGAAGGGGTTGTTCGGATTACCTTTGGCTTAAAAAAAAACAAACATTTTATTGTAATTTGTATTAATCGTGAAAAAAACTAATCATTTCAAAAGACAATGAATATATAAAAATATTAATATAATTAATAATTATGAACTAGGTATTTAAAATATTGTTTTTTACTGGTTCTTATTATGGATTGGTATGCGTTGTCCCACATAATCGAGAAATATTTTACTACCGGTAAATATTTATAAATACATACATATTATTATTACGGCGATAAGATATATAATTCTCAAGCCCGTCCGGATTACCGCACAGATATATTATGTGGATTACCACATCTTTCGGATTAGCCCGTGTTCGGATTATTGAAACCCTACTGTTTTATAATAAATTAACAGATTATTATCTATTTTCAATCATTAAATTATAATTACCTTTGTGTTATAAGTCCTTATATAAAAAAAAATTATAATAACGATAAAGTTGAAAGTAGTTTACGAATAATTGTTATTAATTGATGAAAATCATGATATCTGCCTAGTGTCACGTAATTTGTATTTCGTTCCTTTTCTCCTGAACTTCTAATAATAACAAATAGAGGATTCAATAAATTAATACTAATGCACTATAATAAAGTAGTTCATAGAAATTAATAATTATAGCACTATACAATATATTATATATATATTATATTATATTATAATGACTAATCAGTCTAATGGATACATTCTTTATTTAATAGATAATATTAATTTATAATCTGAGATGCAACATAATAAATAAAAACTTCAAGTACCTAGATACATAAGTCATATGTGTATAACTATTTTATATCTACATAAATACTAATGTCAACACGCGAAACAGACATAACTTAAGTTATGAAAAACGATAAGTGAAAAATTCATTAAAAATATGTCACTTGATAATAATAAAAAAAAGTAAACCTTGGTTATTTATACGACAGTATTGTAATATGCATTAAAATATTAAATATTTAAACGTAGGAATAATAGGTCAGGCGAGAAATTGTTATTGTCGATTGTCACGCGATTGTTCGATCAACCATATGATATACGATAACGATATACCACTACTAGTTATATACTTATACACAATTATACACTACTTACTCTTTAATACCTGAAAAAGTTGTGCGGAGAGGGGGCACTCAACGAACCACACCAAAGAAATAAGTTATGAATAGGTAATGCAGATAATGAGCACAAACTTAATTCACGTGGACGTGACGGAACATGAATCGTACATATTTTGAACAGCGGTGACTAATAATAAACAAATCTTCGGAGTACAGAATAGGGATATAACAGATGATGTTGTTTTTGTTCCGTTCACTGTCTGTTAGTGTCGTATAATTATTATAAAAGCTGATGCAACAAAAACAGTAAGTTGCACGCCAAACATCCAAATTCACCCACTGGCTAACGGTTGACAATCACTTGCTGACAACCTATCATTTTAATGTRCGCATTTAGACATATTTATTATGTGAAMTAAAGACCTTTTACTTAAAAGATCTATTACCTGTGACCAATGTTGATGACGCATAATAGCCATAAAAATTGAAAAAAAATCATTAAAATAAGCTTTTAACTTGATTATAGTTGAATGCTGAAAAAATTGTTTCTTTTTTAGTTTATTTCTATGATACATAATATGTTTTTATGTTATTTTACGTACTGTACAGCCCCAACCCACATCATATTTTTGGCCTTCTTGGTACAGAACTACAGAACTAAATCCAAGTCTCTTAAATAACAATACATTTTGAAACATTTTTCTAATTTACATTGGAGTAATTATTTGTATGAACATTGGGCGGCTTGGCCCCATACCATGGTTTTTTTAACCCCCCCCCCACCTCCTTAGGTGGACCTAATACTGAACATCTGTACTCTATGCCTTCGTAGGCGTTACTATATAAATAAATAAATGAATATAATATATTATATGTACAATATAATATGAAATATAAAATCATGTATTATTTAACTTTTGATTAAAGTAGGCTAAATTAACGTAGATTGCGTCGTTGAAGCCTTTTAATAAACATAATATAAAAAAGTCATATAATTTTTTTTTCCTAATTGTAATACATTTTTAATTGTTAAAAATTAGAAAAGTGAAAATTTATAGATACATATAACATAATGCTATTTCAGTTTAATAACCTTGACTCCAATGTTTCTACCGTATCACTATGCCTGTCCAGTGGCGTGCACACTGGGGCGGGGGTGTTCAAATCCCTCGCGTATTGTCGTATTGACATACCTTTTTTAATACACGTATAAAAACATAAAAATAAATACAATTTTAAAAATTTAAAAAAAATCTAATTTAATATTATACACTATACACATACTATAAATACATAATTATTTAATACACCCCTCATTTAAAATTTCTGTGTACGCCACTGTGTCTGTCGTACAAGAGGAACAATGAGGTGATGTCGGTTCATAGCCGGTGTAGCGGTGTTAAATACTTGTCAGTTGTCAGAAAGTATGAGGAGAGGTTTGCAACTAAATTAACATAGAAGGTATTGACGGTATTGTGCACCTGCAGTGTACCTATAAAAATGAAAAATATATAATTCATAATTGTATTGCCTATCAATCATTACTCAATTATTAAAGACGACTAGACGAGACAAACGAGACAACTATAGCGAAATGACTGACGAACAGTCTACTTTTATAAAAAGGTAATATAAAGGAAACACCATATTACAAAAAGTAATGATAGATAATAATACTTAATATATTGGGTATAATTATTGTAGTCGCGATAACGGAAGTAGTCTTGGGCGGTAGTTGCAATAATASCCGTAGTCTCGTATAATAGGAAAGTACCATTTTGGTAGTCTTATATACTTATATAACAGGATTGTGGTGTTGTCAAAAAACAAGACAGTCTCGTATAACAGGAGAGTACTAAACTAATTCTTTCCTCGCTTCACTTATATACTAGTACTTTTACTACTATTTAAAATAATCTCTGATAATGATTGAATTGAAAGAAAACAACATAATTTTATGGATATAAAAATATATAATATAAAAAATTAATAATAAATATAATATATGGCTATTATTCTTACTTATTTTTTTTTATTAATATAAGTATTAAAAATAATTTTATTTAAAACTTCTTTAATATTAACAACAAATAMATTTTTTTAATTAACATGGTTATCAACATATTTGGCTTAATTGAAATTAGTGTTTGTTAGTGAATATTAACAAAATTTCTATACAATTATGTTATTAAAAACAGTGTCATAATACAATAAAATAATTTCAGTAACACATTAAAGTGCAATGTCACCATTAAAGAAAGCTTGATTTTAGCTATAGCCAAAAATTGCATCAAATATGTTAATACTATTTGAGATATACTATATAAAAATTGCACTTAATATAACTGTACATTTTTAGACAATATGTAGGTATTAACAATTAAATAATTTATCTCAGTAAATCTTAAAACATAAAATATATATATTATAT